TGAGGAGGAACAAACAAGGGCAATTCCTGAGAAGAAAAAGCGAGTCAGCAAGTGTGGTTCGCATTGGCAAGGGAAGTCAAGGAGCAGGCATTTTCAGCAGTCTTACCGAGCTTTCGAATTTGGGTCGCTTCCGGCGACCGTCATGGAGTATATTTTCCATGCTAATATCTGAGCTACCAAACTGCTCGCTGCGGGCTTTCTTCGTACCAGAAACGGAGCCATAGCCGCCTTCGCTGTCACTGTAGCCGGAGGCTCCGTCATCATGAAAGCTGCCATGAGTGCTGGAACCCCTGCTCTTGTTCCCAGCTCTGGAGAGCTGCTTGTTCTGAGAGGCGCTCCGACGGCTTCTACCGGAAGGTGACATGCTGCGCTTGCGGGCAAGCCTGGAGGTAGGCCTGGATGGCGGTTGGTTATGCTCCAAGACTTGCGCCGGCTGCATAGCCGGCCCCAGTTGGAAAGGCTCGCCAAGACTGGGACGTTTGCGACCCTCTACTGGGATGCCAAAATAGCGATCCCCGTAGCCTTCCGAGTATGCTTGAACGGGGATCACCCGCACATAGACGGTCATGTTATTCCGTAGATTTTCATACCTTGCGATGAGGGTGATGCCATTTTCATCCTCGAAGCTGACACCGCTGGCGGCACCGTCATAGATGCCATAGAAGTTCTTTACTGTAGTCACGATTGAATCCGTCGTATCATGAGGATATATCTGTACCCTCATGGGTATCCGAGCCCGTACTTTGGAATTTTCGTCAAGCAAAAGCTCAAAGGCAACGTTCTTGGGGATGGGGGCCTTGTGGGTCAGGTCCTGGGCCATATGTTCGGTATAGGCGGAGGGCTCCCCATGAGGCGAGGACTGTTCGTGATAGGCAGCCTGCATGATGTAGGGAGAACAGGTACTACCCTATTGCTACATTGAGAGATTTGTATCAATCGGCTGTTCGACCTGATGTGGGAAGGCCCGTCCAGATGGTGAGGGTAGTGGGGGCAGAGAAAGGCAGGAGGGAGATGAGAATATGGGCAAATTCCGTCCAAACCTACCACAACGAGGGAACCAGATGGGTTTATTTAGAAGATAGATCACCCGCGATCGTTGTACCGCTATGATTGATGGCGAAGGGTATCGTGGTTGGATGGAGGTGAGGGGGGCCCAAGTCGCAAGAGCCGAGAGCGACTGGAAAAGGGAAAAACCGGTTGAGAACCTGAAGGAAACATACCATATGGGTCAGCACAATTCACTCAAAAGAAGCCATTCAGAAAAATTATGGACGACCGAAGAAAGCATTCGCTTGAAATTTTAGCGATACCCAGTTCTAGTTGGAATCTTGATGAGTGCAGACTTGGAGGAGAGGGAAGAATCCCAGGGTCCCTCGGAAGAGGATGGACAGCATCAATGACACACCTATCACGAGTCAAACTTATTCATCGAGGATCGCACACATCTAGCGGTTCTAGAGGCAACGAACGATGAAGGCGATGGCTGTAGTCAAATGTCGCAGTAGATAGATGGTGGATGAGTCGTCTACAAAGAAGCGCTTGGGTTGTATGTCAGCGGTGGCATCCGACAGGTTGATGAATCAGGAGAGGAAGAGTCGGATAATGGGGGGAACGGAATGATTGTAAATAACACTCAAAGTAGACGATGAAGATCTTGACACACCTGTAAACCTATAGATGGATCGAAAGCAAGTGTCGAACGAAGTTGAGTGAACTGGTTGGGTTTCGAGATCAGCGGTTGAAGAAGAGAGAGAGAAGAAGTGGGTGCGAGTGTACGATGGTTTCACCTAAAGCGAAAATGGGCATTGGGGTCGGTGACCTGCGTTCGCCGGTAATCCACGAATTTAATACAAGAATGCCATAAAGGATGAATCTATTTCATGTTTTTACATGCGAAAACTATGTCTGTCATTGATTGAACCTATTCTGTTATTTCATATGCTCTTATATTTGAGTCGCATTGCGCTGTGGGTTGTTCGTCGCAAACTGGATGCGCAAGACCGTCTATTATCAGAAAGTTACTGCGAAAGATATAAAGCTATAGATATGGCTATTTACGAGTCGCTACCTTCCAATGATAATATGTAGAGGCGCAAATGCGCAAAATTCGATGTTGTTACCAGCATTGACCATGACGATAGAGTCGGACTGATGGATTCGCCTCGAAATCGGATACTGGCGCAAAGGAAGCGACCAAGGTATCTGACTTTCAGTCGCACTCTCTCCTACCGACTCGGTATAACCCACAGTTCTTCTCGATAGTTGAGTCTTTCATTGTCATTTCAGTCCTTTGCATGACTGGTTGGATTTATGGGGTGAGCAGAAAGGAACAAGACGGATGGGATCCATCTGAGTGGCTGTCGATTCGTTGGCTGGCACATCCTCACCGCGGCCACGTCGAATGACACCCAGAAGCTCCCCCCCATCCTGTCCAACTACTATTGATTGAGGAGAAGGGGAGTATCTTCCCGGCATGGCGATCTGACTGGTAAATAGAAAAGCACCGGTCGGTGCTTATGAGCGAAATAGGACAGCTCAGGATAAGTTATCACCCGACGGATTCACACGGAGGGGTCTATCATTCTCTCTACATCATGACATTTATTCAACCATAGGATACCTAGAGAATATCTTCGGCTTGAAACTTTAGGGCGATTGACTATTTCAGTCTCAAGCGCTGAAGCGCTTGATGTTCCCTTATGAGCATCGGACGACTCTATCGATGCTCCGATGGGGATAGCGCATGGATCGATCTGCATATATTATTCGTAGCAGAAGAGGCGAGAGAAAGGACTGAGAAGTCAAGGGTAAGAGCCCAGCTCTTTCTTTCAGTCACTGTCTTGTCTAATTAAGTGATGATGACTGCGACAAGGGTAGCCACCACAGCCAAGCAAGCGACAAGGCCCAATTGTTGCCTCGTTTCATGATCTGCGCTTGTCCAGACTTCTCTCTACCCCTCCTCGGAACAGAGTCATTGCCAGAGTGGGCTACGTAAGGATGGGAGGATCATTGCAACAACGCGCAAACTCTATCAAATCCGTCAAGCACAAGCAAGCTTGGAATGAGTTGTCCCTCTATGATCATTTATTGTGTTGTTGAGCTTTGCGATTTGTTGCGCCTACGGAAATCATTGTCTTCCCAGAGTCCTCGTAGGATTGGCCACGACTCACTCGATTTGGGTAGGATGACTACTGAATCATGACGGGATACTTCCTTTTTGCGGTTTTCATGAGCGGGTGCGACAAAATGAGTTAGGTATTTTTTTTTTTTTTTTTTGGCATAGAATGATGCTGGTGGCAGCAGTATGCTTGCAAGAACCGGATTGTTGAGCAACCAGATCATATGTAGCGGATCTATCAGATGTCTACCTGGGAGTCCCTTGCGAAAGCTTCCGGAAATCGAAATGACAGCAAAGAGGCAGACATCTCTTCTAGAATCGGCCTCTCGACAGCCAAAGCGGGGTTTTCAATGGTGCGGGTGATTATTGATTATCTATTGTCAAGTCGCGAGTCCAAGGGCACACCGAAAGTTTGCGCATTACTACTAATTATTGTTTCCACCTTGTTCGCCATCCGGCTCTCGTTTGCAACTCGACTCGCATCCCGCCACAACGAGTTTGCATGGCTGCATGTAACTTCATAAAGAGAATCGCTTTGCGCTCGCGATTCTAATTTTTCACTTCTGGGTGCGTTCTAAGTCAGCTGATTGAGAGATTCGCATTCTCTGCTTTAGAGTGCGCTTGACAGGTACCTAGGTAGAAAAAGCTGCCAATCCCGCTTGTTCATGATAGGTACCGCCGGATCCGCGTCCCACATTTGAGGAGGAGTCGGTGGCTTTTGGAACCGGTGCAAACGGCGAGGACAACTGAACAAGAGAACGGCCGTGAGAGTCCAAGAATGATCTTTACAACTCGAAAGAAAACATCGAAGGTCATCTCAATGATCTCTATATGAACTAAGCTCAGGTTCATGTCAAGCTCAGGTACAGATAATCGACTCATCTGCGCTTCATGGCGCAGCTTGCATTAAAACTTTGCTGGTAATGATCGGTCATGAATATGGCCATGGATCTGATGCAGCTGTCGAATCTGAGCTTCCAATTCTATTTCAGCCCCAATGGGCAGTTTCTTTGTCCAACAACCTGGGTGACGAGTGCCGAATCCCAGTGCGGACATTGGAGATGTGAGATCATGTGACTTCGCGTTCAGTAGCCGAAGATTTCGTGTCTGCTGGCGCGTTAGTAGGCTTGCGGTAATCTGCTACTCATTCTGCGCCAACAATGAAATGTAGTCGACAGGACATGTAAGAGAACATGTCGCTTTATTTCCAAGGATATAGAAACTAATCAGGTCCTGTGTTTTTCTTGTAGCTGTCGGATTTGTGGCAATCTTTGTCAGAAGGAGGGTTGACGGGAGACGTGTCGCATGATGTCATTGAAGCGTAGAAAAGAGCCGAGAGGTAGCAAACTATGCAAACAGATCGGAATAGGAGAATCCACAATAAAGCCATCTGACATAAGCATGCCGCAGCAACGAGGTTACCGAGCTAAACCTAGACTAGTTTAGCCCCTCCCTGTAAGGTTGTTGTTTATTGTCCACCAACAAATGTAAGTAAGGCAGGCTTTAGGTAAGGTACGGTTACTGCAGCAGTAAGGTATCCTGGAGAAGGTGCTACAGTAAAGGCTGACTTCCCCCTCCCTCGCAATTCTTTGAGGTCTTTGTTTTGATTTTTCTTCTTGATCCCATAGTCTCAGCTCAGTTTCAAACTTTCTTTCATTTATCCCTTATGGTCAAGTTCGTCCTCAAATCTTAAGGCGCGGTTTGTTGTTTGTTTGGGACGAAGGCGCTTTAGTACTTCCGCTATAATTTAGTACTTCGACTACTGCGCAGCGACAAGGGAAAAAGGTAAACAAGCGACTTCAACGCCCCAAACAACCACGACTCTACATATTCTGGTGAAGGATCGTATATCCTTTCCTGGATAGAGTTGTAGCGGTCAGAGATGGATGCAAAGGTACGTCAAAATCTCTTTGGTTGTACATAGATTGCTTCTTGTCCGCCACTACGAAGGGTTGCTGTTTTGCAGACCTAATGGCGAGACTCGACACGCGACAACGACTTATAATCCCTCATGAGAAATACTTCGTGCATGCTGACAGGTTCTGATTGCCTACAGCCCCAACGAATTCGCGTCCGTACGGACGAGAATGCTCCCGTCGCCCTGCCTGGCAACAAAACGATCCATCACCGAAACAAGTCCACTCCCGCCTTATCTGCGGCCTTTCAGAATGGCACGACCAGAAACGGTCTTAGAAGGGCTGCATTCGGCGACGTCAGCAACACTGCCAATCTCGTCAAAGGAAGTCGAGATGATGCCTCCCTTGCGGGGAAGAAACAACTCAAAGTCGTGGAGAAGGCGCCCGCAGGTGTCCCAGCCAGAAGAACGACCATTCTCTCGCAACCTGCTCAGCGTCCCATGTCGATGACTAGTCTGAAGGGTTTGGTGAGCAATGTCTCCAATCCAAAGCCTCTTGAGCCCTCTGCCAAGCAGACGGGTATTACCCAGCATGCTCCCAATACCCGGAAGCCGCTGAACAAGCGCAACACAGTCTTCAAAGACACCCTAGAACCATTGGCCGAAACTCAGAAATCTGCATCCAAGGAAAACGTCACTGAAGTGACAGACGAGAACAAGGGTACCGCTACCTCATATCCGGCCACAGAGCAGCGCATCACAAAAGACGATGCTCGGTTGGACCAGGATTCGAAGATACAATCAGACGACACAGAGGAATACTCCATTGTGAACTCTGACGACATTGACGGGGCCAATAGAGACTTACACAAGGCTGATGACGACAATTGCAAGGTGCAGGTCATCGAGCAGTTGCATGAACGCTGCGCAAACACCAACGAAGTTGACGACCTCCCAAAGGCCCACCGCGAGTCTGCCTCAAGTGCTCATCTAGCCCAGTCGGAGCCGGAGGAGTACTGGGATGAGGAAGATGACGAGAACGAAGAGGATGACGGGTATGTCACTGCACGCTCCTACCGTTCTCGTGGCGATAACACGACCGGCGGAGCGACCACCATTCTGTTCCCTAAATACAACTCTCAAGTGCGTCGCGAGCTGGCTTTAGCCAAGCAGGTCGTCGAAGCCACCAGAACTGCGGAAGACATCGAAGATGAATACTGGGACACTAGCATGGTCGCTGAATACAGTGATGAAATTTTCGAATACATGCGGGAGCAAGAGGTTTGTTGTTCCAGATCAATTTGACAGATCTTGCGTCCTGACTGACCCGCTTCTAGATCAGAATGCTGCCAAACGCTCATTACATGGATAATCAAGCAGAAATTCAATGGTCCATGCGCTCTGTTCTCATGGACTGGCTTGTACAGGTCCACCACCGGTTCTCGTTGCTCCCAGAGACACTTTTCTTGTGCGTGAACTATATCGATCGCTTTCTCTCGAGCAAGATCGTCTCCCTGGGCAAGTTGCAGCTTGTGGGTGCGACCGCAATCTTCATTGCTGCGAAGTATGAAGAGATCAATTGCCCATCGGTCCAAGAGATTGTGTACATGGTTGACGGAGGCTATACCGTGGATGAAATCCTGAAAGCCGAACGTTTCATGCTGAGCATGTTGCAGTTCGAATTGGGTTGGCCTGGACCGATGAGTTTCCTGCGAAAGATTAGCAAGGCTGATGATTATGACTTGGAGACTCGCACCTTGGCTAAGTACTTCTTGGAGGTGACTATCATGGATGAGCGCTTTGTCGGAAGTCCTCCAAGCTTTCTGGCCGCTGGTGCTCATTGTCTTGCCAGGCTGATGCTGAGAAAAGGAACTTGGGTACGTTCACTCGCACTTCCGCGACAGTATCATTTCTCTACGACTAACACTCCCTCCCTTAGACCCCGTCCCATGTCCACTATGCAGGCTACACCTACTCTCAACTCTACCCTCTGGTCTCACTGATCCTCGAATGCTGCGAGATTCCACGCAAGCATCACTCAGCCATTTTCGAGAAGTACACCGACAAACGTTTCAAGCGTGCTTCTCTGTTTGCCGAGGCGGAAATTAAGAAGGGGTTCTGTCTGCCTGAAGTGTCCAGAGAAGCTACCTCCAACGAGCGCAACTCACATAACGAGCCAACACACCACTGGAAACGAGTCTAAGCTGTGCTCAATCTCCTATTTTACGGCACGTTTCACTTTTACCTGTTCGAAGCCCAGAATTACTTAACGTCCATATCCCTCTTTCAGAGAGGATTCTTCTCGCTACATTCCTCTCTCGGCCCCAACCCTCAGTTGGTCATTTCCCGCGGCTACAACGGCATCATTACGTGCATGACGATATTGAGATCTAACATGCATCGAGGCAAGAACCACAGAAAAATACTGTTGAAGAGAAAAGAAGATAGCAGGAAATGGGCATCCCACTCTTTTCAACAGACTCCTCGGTGGGACGCTCACCTCCACGTATTACCTCACGAAAACCCGAAAACTTTGCTTCGAACAATTCCTCACCTCATCGTAGAACATCGGCTGCGATTGGAGAGATCACAAGATACCAGATGGGTGGAGTTGTTTCCTTCAAGGTCTATCTAATGAAACGTACGACACGAAAAACATCCACTGATCAAACCGAGACAAGGGGTGTTATGGTCCAAGCTCGCCATTGTATGAGTTTATCATTTCTGTTCTGTGTCTCTGCCACCATGCATTTCCTTTGTCTTATTCATCGGCCTACCTTTTTTCCTGAACTCTTTTCCCCCGTCAATCTTCTTTCATGACTGTATGCCCTTCCTATGCTCACTGCGATTCCAATATGGTTTATGAAATGCTCGGTGGTCGAAGCACGCCAAACGAAATAATTCTCCTAATCCCACTTCTCCTTTGTCATATTTTTGGCCCCGGAATCTTTTCTTACTGCTCATGATTAGTTGTCTGGGATAGAGGCACGGTGATTAGTGAATACAATTGGACTTGACTTTCTGAATAGTTTTCCAATTTCTATAGCACAGAATCTCGAAGGGAAGAGAGTTGAACATATCGATGCATATCTATTGGGATGATTGAAATGTAAGTCTATCAGAAAGATGTCGAATCAATCTATATGCACAGCTTTTGTGTACCTTCCAGCCAATCCCGAAGACCAACGCTGAAAAGAAGCAAAACTACTGATCCAACCCATTAAAATCGACCAATTTCTTCACAATCTCAATCACCCGGTCGCCCAAGTCATCCGACACAGGACCAAAACCAGGGTTGTCAATGCGCGCCGCGATGATCTCATCCAGCATGAGGCGCAGTCGCGAGACGAGAACGCCGATGCGGGCCCAACCGCGCAGCCGCAGCCAGCCGTCGACGATGAGACCACGGCCCATGGTATCGAGGGTGATGGATCCGCAGAAGAGGAGGAGGGAGTAAGGGTTGAAAGCTGGGAAGGCAGTCAGTATTGCTTTTATTTTGGGGGGCTTGAAGCGGGGATGGGGATGGGAATGCATACGTGTCAGATCCCGGATGAAGACTTTGCTTGTCGCCATCTTGGTGAAGTAGCTGAGGTACGCGGCGGCGCCGGAGTAGCTCTGCGCGGAGAAGAGGAGGGAGCTTGGGTGGATGAAGACGCGGCCATTTTCCTGGTTGAAGTACTTGATTGTTCTGGCATCCGGGTCGATTTCGACGGTGCCTGTCATGGAACTGGCGAATTTCTTGTCTGGGAAGGAGATCTGTGCGACCTGCGGCTGGAAAGCGCCTGCGATGATGGCGCGGAGGAGGTTTCTGTTCCCGTTGTTGCGGTTCCAGGCGGAACCGGGTTCGGAGTCTGAGTAGTCGACTGGGAGGATGCCGGCGTCCTTGAGAGAGCTGATGAATTGGGCTCTGTTGGAGGAGATGTCGCGGAGGGTCTGGTGCGAGAGGAAGTTTGCGGAGCACCAGGACTGGGTCTGCCAGTAGCCTTGTGCTTTGGCTCGGTCTGACCACTGCTGGTATGCGGCGAGGTCGGTGAGGAGATCCCCGTCGCCCTTGGAGAAGGATGCTTTGGCGGCGTCGGCTTCGTCGCGTCTGTCGCGGGGTGATATGAATGGGCTCTTCACTGTCAGAATAGCTGATATGGTGATGCAGGCATCTATGCAGCCGAAAATGGAGCCGTAGACCATGAGTTTGGCGCAGCGAAGGTCGGCCGGAATCATGGACAGATACCGTCCCAGTGCTGTCAACCTGTCATGATCCAGAGCGCCAACACGATGCAGGAAATCTATGGCACCTTCGACAGCGACGCTTTCAGGCGGTGTGATGGTGTTCGCCAAGAAGGTAGCGACATCGTCTATGCCTTTCATGGCTTTGACTGACAGGCACAGTTGCTCTAATGGGACTCGGCGGATTTCAGGTTCTGGTCGCTGGGGCATACTCGATTCGGCTTTGCGTGTATACAGCTTGTAGCACGAACCAGCCCTCACACGACCGGCACGTCCTCGTCGTTGCTTACACGCTGCCTGAGAAGCCCAGACTTCCTGGAGGCGCACCATGTTGTCCTTCGGGTCATAACTAGTCTCTTTAACGCGGCCAGTGTCGATGACGGCGACCACATCTTCAATGGTGATTGACGTTTCGGCAACGTTAGTAGCAGCAATGACCTTTCTCTTTCCTTTAGGAGGGCTGAGGAAGACGCGCTTTTGTTCTGCTGGGAGCAGGGACGCATGTAATGGGAGTGGATGAACATTGGGTATCTTCCGCACAGCATTCAAGCATCTTTCGATTTCCATAGTTCCGGGCAAGAATATCAGTATTCCTCCTGGCTGATCTCTCAATTGAGAGTCGATATATCGGACAGTGGATGCAATCAATTCGTAATTGATGCCCATACCGAGGCCGCGAAGGAGCTTGCCTAGCGGTTCATCGCCTTGAGGAGGGGACATGACATCTTCGTCAAGGCTTCGTTCGGCCAGTTCAGGTGCAAAACCGGTGTCCCGGACGATATCATCCAGGTAATAGTCGCTAACAGGGAATGTTCGACCTGGGATGTTCACTAGGCCAACTTTCTCACGACCCCCAAAGTAGTTCATGAAGATCTCTGCATCCAGAGTAGCACTCATTAGAATGACTTTGATATCTGGCCGGTATCGGAGCACGTCCCTCAAGAGAGCCAGGAGAAAGTCGGTGTCAAGGCTTCGTTCATGAACTTCATCTACTACCACATGTGTGACATCCGCCAGAGAACCTGCGACATTGCCGTCCGGACCACTGCCGGACTGTAGGCGACGAAGTAGGACACCAGTAGTAACAAAGGTGATCTTCGTCTCGCCAGGCTTCATTTTGGAGTCTCCACGAATGATATATCCAACTTCTTTTCCCACCGAGGTGCATCGCTCGTCGCTGACTCGATCAGCTAGACCTAGTGCTGAAATTCGGCGTGGCTGCGTGCAGATGATATTCGCAACACCGCCTAAGCCACGTTTAATCATATCATCTAGTACAAATTGCACCGATTGAGTACTCTTGCCGCTTCCTGTTTCACCTGAAATAATAGTGACTTGATGCGTATTCACCACATGTATGATAGCATCTTGAATTCTCCAAGCGGGCAGAGACTCGCGTTTTCGAGTCATTTCTTGCTGGGCCGTTGTTGACTGCCTGGCCTCCCAAGCTTCTCGAATAGAAACGCCTAGAGGCGAATCCGGGTTCCAATCAATCTTTCTGCTTTGCTTGCGCGACTGACGAACCGGGAGTCTTGAGAACGAGCCAATTACAGATGAAGAGCCCGTTACTGTTGAAATGTCTCGCAGTTTACCTGGGTTTTCTATGATCCCCGGTAGATGTGTTTCCAGCCAGTCCATTATGTTGAAAATCATCGACTCCCCCAGGAAGTTTTCCTCTGCGAATCGTACAGCTTGCCGTATCGCGCTGAGCCGTATATAAGCCGGGATACCTGTCCCCTGAATGGCGATCACAGGCACAGATGATGGATAGCCCCCAGAAGGCTTTTGAAATCGAAAAGATAGAGATTCAGGAAGATTGGGCGCCTCGCTCTTGATTTCACAAACTTTGGACGATATACGTTTGTAGCGTTCTCCGAAGATTGCTTCGAGTGTATCCTGCTCCTCTGCCCAGGAGTCTTCGTCCCCCACGGACAATGAGTCCAGAGTCTGGTTTTCACCATGCACTAGAGTGTTTTGCAAGAATTCTGCAGCTGCGAGCTCATCACCACGCTTGCTATCCAGAGTTTGAGCGCACAGATCAGCTGAATATCCAAACGACGCAAGCCGTTTGATCTTGGCCTCCCTCGCAAGATCATCGCTGGCGAGGGTCACGCCGGCGGTATATCTCTCGGGCAGACACCACCGTGGGAGGTCATCTTCCGGGACGTAGATAAGGAGCCACTCAAGTACCTCTTCCCGGTCTTTACAGGCAGCGGCAGCCTCTTCAACGTGACTGCGTCGGAAGCCCAAACCAAGGAACTCCTCAATGATGGCTTTGCGCTCAGCCTCCGATATCTGCACGTTGTAGGGATTCCAAATCGTATGCCGTCGCAAAAGCTCCTCGAGTTCACGGCGGATTTTATTTCCCAGATCAACTTTTGGAGCTTGTGACCAGATCCATTTCCCTTTGTTCTCGCCGCTTGAGCCTACACCCAAGTCGACAGCGATCTCCTTCTCTTTCGCCTGCGCCTTTGCTCTCTCTTTTCGTTTCTTTTCTAGATCTGCAGCAGCATTTTCCCGTTCTTGCTTCGCTAAGAATGGGTCGGCTTCGTACATCCACCCTTTTCCTTCCTTGGTATCTGTGTTCTTTATGTCCGTGAAGTCCTCTTTCCACAGCTTCTTATAGGTAGGCGGGAGCATCATATGTAGGTTTCTCATGTTGCAGACTCGAAACAAGGCGTACGCAGCAGCGAAATGGCGAGCTTCCAGCGCCGTCGGCTGAGCCGCCAAATGCTTGTGTGATGGTGGCGGCTTCATGGGAGGAAGTACGGTCATTTCTCGAGTCTTGGGATCGATGCGTTTCAATATGACTGAAGATACATAGCCATCTGAAGTTTTCATCTATGAATGTGCAATATCCTGTCAGCATCGCTACTGCGCACAACAGACGAATGCGCCCTAGAATCTTTGCGCTCATCCACTCACCATTGTATATTCAGGTTTCTCCCATTTCTGCTTCTGACAATGCTCCGCGAGCATATTGACCGGCAACTTTCCAGTCCATGATGCACCCCCAATGACCTCCTTCACAGAGGGTTTCTTCGGTTCCTCCGTGGCGGCCTGCGCTTTCTTCGCGTTTTCAGCCGATCGCTCTGCGGCGGCTTTGGCTTGCTTAGTCCCGGGCTTGGGGACTCCACGGGCGTCGGGCTTCTTCTTGGGACCCATTGTGTGAATATTGCGTTATACTAGGCAACGCCCGTGGAGCAACTCAGTAATGAATCGCAGGGATGCCGAGCGGCGACTTGTCGTGGTCTTGATTTGCTGGCGGGCAAAAAAGGCTGTCCCGCACTAGAATAACTTACTTTATCAGAAGCTGCGGGGACCGTAAAGCTTCCCGCTCTCCGCATCTTGCTAATGCTAGTGAATCAGGGACGATCATGGCCACAGACCAACCGATTGTGGATGCTTTAAGATTGTTCACCGGTAGCTCACTCTACCGCAAGTCTATATAAGTCCAATACATTCGTGATCACAATGTCGGGCGAATCACCGATCCTTGAAACAGAGCATGCCGATGCCGCACAGGCGATGACTTCAAAATCCCAGGCAGAGAAGCCAGCGAAAAGAGATGCCTGTACATGCGTGACCTGACTCCTGCTTTTTGCAAAAAGTACAACTGACTTGAACCTCAGTCTCAGAGCTTCTATCACCTAAGAACAAGCAACAGAAACAAGCGAGCCATCCCCCCTCGAAAACGAATATCAAGAACAGATTTGGCGCGCGTGACGGCTTGGGCGCCTACATCGAAAAGCCAGAGTCATACCCGTCCAACGTTGTGGTATACTACAACGATGATTTTGTCGTAATTCATGACATGTTCCCCAAATCTACGTTACATTTGCTATTGCTTCCTCGTGACCCAACTAAAACACGGCTCCATCCATTTGAGGCCTTCGAAGATCCAGAGTTCCTGAGCAAAGTCAAGGCCGAAACGAGAAAGCTTCGCACTTTGGCAGCGGCCGAGCTGAGACGCAAGTACGGGAGATATTCAACCCAGGACAAAGAGAGACAAGATGCTTTGAATGCAGACCCGCCGCCTGATGTGCTACCACAGGGGAGAGATTGGGAGAAAGAGGTCATGTGTGGCATCCACGCGCACCCGTCTATGAACCATCTACACATACATATCATCTCCGTGGACAGGTATAGCGATCGCCTGAAGCACAGGAAGCATTATAATAGTTTCTCGACCCCTTTCTTTGTCGATATCGAGGATTTCCCCCTCGCCAACGATGATGCGAGACGTCATCCGGACAGAGAAGGGTATCTACGGAGAGAGTTCAAATGTTGGCGATGTGGCAAGGATTTCGGCAATAGGTTCGCCGAACTGAAAAGCCACCTTGAAGGAGAGTTCAACGAATGGAAACGACTTTGAGCTTTAGGAGTTTCATCAATTTCCCAGTTTCCATACGTACGTCATGAACGGCCGAAATCGTCAACTTGGGCATGAGCTCCAGTATAGTAATTCGATTGGTAGTAACAGGTTTGGCTTTCATATGCCAACATTATCTGATGGGTTTCTATCATAAATATACACCTACTTCCTGGACAGAAGCCGCCGCCTGAGCCTCTTGGCCGATTACATTCTCAGTAATCTCTTGCCTCGAGTCGGTCTACTCTGGCCTTCGCCAACGAGACTAAAGACGGCCTGTACGCAGCCACTAAGTATCATCAGTGCTAAAGCCACCTTATCCGCCTCGAGGCTTTAGGCACGGCTCTTAGACCGGGAGCTACTCTTGACCTTTCTGGCTTCAGGGCGGTTGATGTGGTGAGCTGGGATCCATTCGGCGTTGTAGGTTGTAGCGGAGGAAACAGCGGGGCTGCTAGGTCCTTCTTCAACCTTCTTAGATGCGCCAGAAGACTTCTTGGAGAATTCGGCAGCCTTTCCGGCCTTGCGCTTCTGAGGGAAGTATGGCGCAATCCAGACGGTGTAGAAGAAGTAAGCGGTACCAGCGAAACAAGCCAGGAGGAAGAAGTAGAGGAAGATACTAAGGTCATAAACAATAAGTCAACTGTCTCTGACCGCGAACGGGATTTTGGAGTAGCTCACATTTGGGGATCGAAGATGCTGGTCTCGGGCTCGACCACGCTGACGGTGCCATTGTGGGCATAAACAGTGAAGAACTTTCCCTCGCTGTCGGAAATGATGGAAGCGATGGTGAGTCTCAGGTCCTGAGGGTGCATTTCGGTGGCGAAGCTGTAGCTAACGCTCTCCTTCTGGCCAGCGGGAATCTCAAGACCATATCTGGTGGCAGTCAGGTTGCGAACAATCTCGCTCTTTTCATCGAGAGTCGACAAAGATCCACCGATGAAGTTGACGGTCACAGGAGCAGGTTCGTCATTGGTGAAAGTGATCAATGCCTGTGTTGGGTGACCGTTGACAAGCTTAACGCCGAAGATCTCGGAAGCAGGGAAGGATGCCTCCGCCGACACAGCGAGCTTTTGGACCTCGGGGGTGTCCTGCGCATTCTCGGTAGTGTCCTAGAGGCCGTCGATTTATGTGAGCAATTCAATTGATCTAGAATGAGAGCAAAACTACAATTCGCGACTTACAGCTGCGAGACCACCGCCGATGAGGGCTTGGACAGAGAACAATGCCAGCGAGAGAAGACCGAAGCGAGCCATGGTAGTAGAAGACCGTACTCAGACAGGTAAGAAGGGAATAAAACAAAGAAGAAAGAAAGAGAGGGGATGAAAAGGAAAGGGAAGTGGAGTGGAAAATGGTAAGACAGTGGAAGGGGGAATCGAGGTGCTTTTTCTCCACGTAGTCATAAGTTGGGAACTTCCCCATGCGCTCGCTGACTCATCTAAGGCACCATGCAGCTTCTGATTGGCCGTTGCTTAGATCCTTTCCTGCCACTGTTTTATCAACAGAGTTGCTTAAAGGAAAGTACCATACTTTACCTGTCTTTTGCATGCATGGCTAAATTATAATGAAACTCAAGGAAAGGGACAAGCACCTGTAAATATTTCATATTTATTCTGTCTGATATTATAGTTGAGTGTTATCAGAAGTGAGACTTGACTATAGTGAATTTCAATGTCTTTAGATTCCTGTTCCCAACTCTACAACCTTCGTCTAGAACAGTGAATGACAACACAAAATAAGTGCTTCTAGATCTGATTACTTTCGCAGCATCTCTAGACCTTCTCTTTGCTCTTCTAATACCCCGTACCCCGTACTATCACCAGCTTTTCTCGGCGCAGTGAGCTACCCTACTACCTCATCCATCGGACCCGCCATAGTTCACCATGGAGGCTCAAGCCTACGCTGAGCGCTATAGACAGGTGATGTCTATAGAGCAGACCAAGAACAGCCTGATTGAGGTAATTATCCTAGCTTCACCTCGCCATGAGTCTTCATATTAACTGACTTCTTTCTGAACTAGGAGCTTCTGCAACGAGTGGCAGAGCTTGAAAATGCTCTTCAGCGCCAGAAACTCGACCATGAACGCGAGAAGCATTTTAATCGTGAGATTCAGATCCATGAGATGGAATTAATGAATGAGATCACCAGAATGAACGCACTCATTGTAAGCCCTGGCGAAGCCGTCAGTTTAGTCTCTATCTAACAACATCTCTGCTATCATTGTAGCATCGCGAACCGTACATGATTGTACTTCTGGACGGACATGGCCTCATTTTCAAGGAGGAGTCCCTGAAGCAGGGTGAACAAGGTGGGAAAAACGCAGCAAAAGAGCTTTCGACTGCATTGCAAGATTACATTACCACGCATTTCCCAAACATTGCCTCACCTAAGATCGTGACAATGATCTATATGAATGTGAAGGGACTGGCCGACCTCTGCATTGAAGGAGGAATCGAAATGGAGCTCTCGGTACTCGAGGCATTTGTCCGAGGCTTCAATGGCAATGGTTTGCTTTCTGATATCATCGACGTTGGCGCTGGCAAGAATAAAGCGAGTGATAAGATTGAAGGTACGTGATGCAGTCCTGATTGCCCTGTGCAGCCTGCTTTCACTGCGATTGCTTCTGTGGTGAGTTCTAATACAGTGGCTGGCCAGAGATTTTCAAGCGCAACCTAAACAACTGTCATTGTCATCAGATCTTGCTCGGCTGTTCGCATGATGATACGTATGCTCGGTTTCTCAGAGAAACAATGGTGGACTACAAGTACATAGGGAGGGTGACTCTCATTGAGGGCGTTCCATTGCAGGGAGACATGAAGGCTATGAAGCCGTCCTACAGAGTCGCAAAGTTTACTCATATCTTCCGAGAGACGAACATTGCGTCGGCATCGGCTCCCCAGGACACCAAGCCCCGTTCCTCCCTTACACCATCGCCAGTTCAGCATGCAACACCACTCTCGAAAACGTCCACAACTACCACGATGACAAGTAACAGTCCTGCATTGTCGACCTCCTCGAGGAAGCTGCCAAAATCCGAAGAATTCCAACCTGTTGTTCGCTCCATTCGCTCTAAGGCATCCAGTTCTCCACCTCCCAAGATCGTTGAACGGAACAAGTACGGGCAGCGCGTCGATCGCTTTGATATCAAGACAATCCCCAAGGATGATTTGAGCCGCATGAAGAAGCTGAAGCTCTGCAACTATTTCTACTTACAGGGCGAATGTCCCATTGAGGATTGCCGTCACGATCACTCACGCAAATTAACCAAAAGCGAGCATCATATCCTGGCGGTCGTTGCACGCATGACGCCTTGTCGCTACAAGTTTGAATGCGATGATCCTGAGTGCATGTACGGACATCGTTGTCCTCATAGCGAGCCAGGCAAGAAGGAGTGCGTCTGGGGCTCCACTTGCCGATTCGATGCCGCCGCCCATGGAGTAGATACAACAATTGTCAAGGTCACCAAAATATGATACACCCTCGCCGTCACGTTCTTGGACAGGTTCACAATCTGTGCAATTCTGGCCCACCCGCTCGGCACACTGGGATGCTTCTGGAGTTGCGAGGTTGATAAAGCGTAATCGGGTTCTCCTGCTTATGTCATTGAATGGAAAATATGGTCACCAGGCATTTCTATGTGCCCGATTTTGATGCAATGGTGGCATTTACTTTTCGTCATGTCGATTGATCGATTCTCTTTGCCTCGCATCCTGGATTTCATCACTTGATATCCTCTTGGCATTTGCCTTCAATTTGAGTTTGTTCTTTAGCCAGGCCTCAGCTCAATGTAAGTATCTCTGAACATATGATGACCCGGAATCGAGCACGTTATTTTCAGGGAATAAAGTCTGAGTTAATCCCCGAGGCAGTGACTTCAAAAAGTTGCCATAATAGCTTCCATGAATTGTGTGTCCAACAACCATACCACGAAAATTCTCTTTCCAACGGTAGATGCTAAAGTCGAAAGTGTATCGTATACCCAAAACACCGCGGTTTTCAGGAAACGGCATGGCCAAAAGGACGACTTAAGTCTCTAGGAGCCCATCGGTGGACTTCAAATATAGGACAGTCGTGTAACAAGTTATGAGTGAGACGAGCATTCGTTGGCAGATGAAACAGGCAAAGGAATCACTTTGCCGGAATCACGATTGGCCATGAAGGATCATGATGCGACGGCGTGTTGTAGGATAACAGGGTTTTGGTGGCCCCGGACAAAAATGGTATCCAGGTGCATCCTACCCAATCTCCAAGGTGTAATGGATTCCAAATTAGAAGTCAGAATACCAGAAGGCTAGGCATGGATAGTTGTATTGAACATGGCGAATCGTCTCTCCCAGCCAAAGCAGGTTTCGTGACTACAGCCAATGCCGTCGTCGATCTTATCATCTGTGGACTTCTCATGACTACACCTGACTCCGTATTCCTTAATGCAGCAAGTAAACGGGCGGGAGGAAAGTGGGCCCAGAGCATGAGGATTCGAGCCATCCTTGCTAGCGGCTATTTTCCGTTCCTCAAGGTCACCCCAAAGGTGGAACAGCGTTTCTCTTAGCAGACGTAATTTGGAAGGATTTTTCCGCAAACTGAATGAACGTACGATTAGAATACTCGAAGCCTCTCTTTCTGTAGCGTAGGAATACAATACGGTGATGACTTACTCGGCGGCGTCAAGCTTGAGCAGACACTCAGCATCAGCTCCCGAAACAAATAGCTTCATTCGCTGGCTGGACTCCCCGTGTGGATGAGGCGGTACATTTTCAACCAAAAGGCAGAACCGCCATTGCCACCTAATTGAACAACCTGCACTATGGAAGTTGTGTGTTTCATCCACCTCGGCGTCAGGACGCGGCTTATGATCCGACTCTTCTGGAACGGCGAAATCTTCCAGTTTTGGAGGGAAAAAGTCAACCACGCGAAAAGTGGCTCGGTAGCAGACATTTTGAAAAGGAATGCGATATTCAATCTGGTTAGGCGAGATATTTTCGTGAAACTCGCCGTCTAAGATGTCC